ACAAGTACTGTAACAGCATCCGCACCTGGCTGTATCTACCGCCATCTTGCTGCTGGCATCTGCCAGGCTTTATCGCTTGCCAGTTGTCAGGGTCTCCATGCTTGCCGAATTTGACCTCTGCTTCCTCGCACGTTTGTCACTGCGTAATTAATAAATCTTGGTCTGATTAATTCCACTCGCTTTATTCGGCTAGTCAGCCAGTACAGGATGACAGTGAGCCTGCGCAAATTTACGCTAATTAAAATTATTGAACTGTAAACATTGAAAACATCCAGAATCGTTAGTATCATTACGTGCACGTAATAATTATACAGCTTAGGACTAAAAAGACGCATACCGTAACCCCATACCCAGATATCCGTACGCATGTGGCAAGTGCGCTTGTACGACAACCGGATATTTTAGCAGAGTCGTACAGCGCACTGTGCTGCATGCGTTTGGAGTACTGTGGGCGGGATTATGGGTTAGGTATATACCACATAAACATAAACATAAGGCTTCCTCGCATCAACATAAAAATAAAGCTGTGCTGCATAAACATAAAGCCGAGACGCATAAAGTATGCCCCGCATAAACATAAAGATAAGAAACAGAAATAACATAATGATTATAGTTACGAAAAATTACGTCGGCTTCGCCTTCGCATTTCCTGTGATCCATTTTTGGATTTTTTCAGGAATTGTAATGTACTGTAACTAAGTTTTTTTAACGAACTCTTCAATTTCGGAGAAACTCAATCAGAGAAAATCTGTTAATTTGTTTCTTTTTATTCTGTCCGAAATTTATCGCAGTAACAACTCCTTGTAGCAGTTGTAAATTTATCGCAGTAACAACTCATTTTGGACTTTAAAGTGGTTGAATATGTATATTTCAGCGTGTACTAATATAAGCCTCAGCCAACAACAGAAATAATCGGCCTAATTATACGAGTACAGAACATTTCATCTAAATTAGCCGATGCTAATGCTGTTCCCATGGTGTACGCACGAAAAACGCGGACGTTCGCTTTGTGCACACGCGCCGGTACAGAGCTGGACTACGCGCACTGAACTAGCGTCACTATTTTTTTTACATTTTTTACACGGAACAATCATATATTCATAATTCTTTGAGGTGAAATTCTTTACATCTGCAGATACAAATACGGTTATCCAAAAGGATTAACCCGTTCATGTACAAAGATCACCGATTTATACGTTGTTCCATACAACACCCTGTTTGGCAATGAAATGCCATATTAATGTGGAAACAACGACCGTTCGTTAGCCGTATGTGGCATTAGGCAGAGTTCGAAATCGAAAAGACATGCTTATATTGGTTCGCCCGGAAATGTACACAGATTCAACTACTTTAAAATATGCTGTATAGTTATGAAACTACAACTGTACCACATGTGCCGTATTTTTCCACTCGGATTTTCTTATGTCGTCGGTTGAATCGAAGCGAACTTATGTTTAGTATCCGGTTTTGTTTATGCGTTTCATACTTCATGCACTCCGGCTTTATGTTTATGCAGCGCAGCTTTATGTTTTTTTGTTTATGCTAGTGCGAAAAAGCCTTATGTTTATGCTTATGTTTATGTGGTATATACAGTAAAACCTCTCTATAAAATACAGGCACGGTTCCGTGGGTTTCGTATTTTATATCGGGGTGTATTTTATAAAGGGAAACTGCCCCCAGGGGCACCGGTTATATTTTAGGGGGGCGGAGGCGGCAGCCGAGCAGTATTTTATTACTTAAAGCTGGTAGCAACACTTCCTGTACACAGTACCAAGTAGAAAACAAATGCAGTGCTCATAATTCCGTTCCGTTCCGTTCAATTGATAAGGTCACAATCATTACTTTTCGAAAAAACGATCAAGAGTGACTTGAGTCTTGCTGGCTGCTTTAGATAACTTCTTTTCAACATTCTCACGAGCCAAGATGTCTTAAAGTGTACCAACAAACGGAATACCGCTTGAACTTTCAGAATAAGTATAGCGCTCCAGAACGTGCACGGCAATGGGTGAGGCTCCCCAACTCTGCTCTTTGCATAAGCAGTAACGTTGCTCGCTACTGCCGACGATTGTATAACTAAATTAAATTGCATCCGGTTAACTGTGCGTAATTGTATTCAACCGGATCTGAATGATATGCGGAGGTTCTCTGCACCGGTAAAACTACATTCGGTTCCGCGAAAGGTGTATGTAACTCTTATAAAGAGGTGAATGCTATAGAGAGAGTCCCCCCTGTGTTATAGCATGCGAGCTAATCCAGTTCCGTACAGGTTGTATGTTATAAAGAAGTGTATTTAATAAAGAAGTGTATTTTAAGAGAGGTTTCACTGTAAGGGACAAAACTCGGTGTCTTCCACCTATGAGCGTGGACCTGATGAAGGTTCACGCGCAGGAACAGAATTGACGGAATTCTGCCTGCCAAACAGATCTGGCAATGCTATACAGCGCCTACGCTATGGAAAGCGAGAAACGGCGTGATTGCTAGAACTTTATAGACCAGACTAAATTCGATAGAATTTCCTCGTGGACAACTCCGCATTGCTGACTGCAGCAAGCGTGAAAAATGCGCACGTAGCCGCCACATGATGCGGGTGCGCGCAGAACACCATGCTTTCGCCGCACGTAGGCGGGCGTGCAACAAAACACAACAGACTGCCAAAGCGAGGGTGTACGCATGTACGCCTGCGCTCACATGCCTCTGGGAGGGAGGCTGAGCTCCGTCGAAGCAAAATCCACGTCCAATTCCTTGGGATTCTTGACGGCTCGTCTGTGCGCATAAAAGAACATCGAGATTTTATCTCCTTTTAACATCACAAATTCCAATTACATGTGTGAATAAAGAGATCTCGAAACAAAAGTAAAAACAGTAAAAAAATATCAACAGAATTCATTATCAAAACGACTAGGATCCTCCGACTCGTAAAGGTCACTGGGTCCTGTCAACCGTAATCCACTTTGGTCCATTCCGCTCTATTGAGCAATCTTTTTCATCACAATGAGAGATCCGCTTTAGGAATAGGTGCGTATCAAGTACGACTTCTGAATACTGCTTCTTCATCTTTGGAATAATTGCGTATCAAAGTACGACTTCTGTCAAATGAGATTCTTCCTCTTGGACATGGAGGGACGTCTTGAAAGACAAGCTTAATGCTTCCTCCCTGGTAAGGTCATTCTCTTTTTTCTCGATGACTCTCTTGAGCAGTGAAGTTCTCAAAGGTCATCCTTTCTTTTTCTGATGTGCGATTCAATTGGGCAGTGACGATCCCAAAAGGTCATCCATTTTCCCTTCGTAAGTTCCATATTAAAGGTCATGGAGGAACTTAGCCGATTTTTGGCTTTCAAGCAATTCTGCTTGCCTCCCTTGTAAAGGTCATCCATCTTTTTCAACCATTTTCTTCTGTCGCACATCCTTTCCTTTCTTTTAGTGCCAATTGACGCGCACCTTTCTTCTTTTCCTTACCAGGTTCGAGGGCCGGTTAACGCCGTAACTCCTCTCTTCTGAGGCCGGTTGTCGCCGTAACCTCAACATCTGAAAGTTTTTACCCCTATTTTCTTGAACTCTTTCTCTTTTTCACCCTTGCGGCTTCTGACATTCCTTAAGAGTGTGCCGACTAGGTAGGCCGCAACTACACTCTAGAAGTGACGTTTAAATGTAATGAGGAAGGCCGGTTAACGCCGTTACTCTTCCTGCTTCGAGGGCCGGATGACCTCCGTAACTCCCCATATTAAAGATCACATTGATCCCCTGCAACAAAGTTCTGCAAACAACAATACACAAACGGTATGACAATTCAATACGTTATGTCTCCTTCGCCCTAATACTGTACCTTCGTTACCATTCTCGTGCTGCCGACTGATGGCCGTAACTAGCACATCAGCGATGCCCTAAAGGTCATCACTGATCATTTGAACCATCGTCGCGGTTCCGATCGAAACGTCTTTGTTTTTCATTCTGATCAGACGTTCGATCTCGAGGTTCCATTCCCCTCTCTTGCAGCTCGTCTCCTTCGCTCCGGCTGCTAGCACCACTGTGCCGATTTCGGTCACGTCTGCGCTGAATACGGATCAGATGATCTCGAGCGTCAACCATTCGCGCTTTTAATCCTTCATCGTATGGATTATCCCGTGACCTCTTGCACAATTCGACATAGTCCAAATGCAGCTGTTGGTTTCTTCGTCCTCTTCGTTTCATTTCATTTTCCTGCGGCTGTCTCGCGAGCTCTGGACGGTAGCTGCCTCTATTTACGCTGATTTCTTGGATGAAATCATAGACGAAGTCGGATGGCTGGATGAATCTTGTTCCCATCGTAATCCTGATTCGCTCTGCACATCGGTGTGCGTGCATCTTCGCCTGACGTCTCAGACTTTCATCGAAATTCATTGCTCTCTGGACGTCTTTCAGCTGCCTCCTGGCCGTTTCCGAGGAGTTAAAGTTCTTAACAGGCATTCCCAGCTTTATAACTTGCGCGGTCAGTGCTGGCGGTATCTCTATACCTCTTTGGGCGCTCTTTCGCAGCTGGTGATGCGATTCGTAATGGCCGAGCCTTGCTGCAAAAATCTTCTGAATCGTGGCGCGATGATCGGGCGGAGAATCTGGTTTGACCAACAATCCTAACGCAGCCCTTCCTGCGAGGAGTCTCAACGCCGGGTTCACATGTCGCAGCACAAATTGTGCTACGTGGAGTCGTCTTTCCTTGATGTCTCTGTATTGGAACTGCGTCATTCCTGTTGGATCGGGAGTGTCCAATGGTGTTTCCAAGAGACTCAGGTCGATCAAACTGACAAGGCCACATTCTCTCGTTGGGAAATAATGAAGATTCGCCGATTCTTGCGTAATGATGAGGTCTTCCCATTGGCCATACTCGTATTCCTTCGCGTATCCCGAGTCGTTGATGACCTGGCGCAAGTTCATGAGAAGCCAATAAACTTTGTCGAATTCTTCTTTATTATCCGGCGCGATGCCCACCGAACGGCAAATCTCGTTCGTCTGCTCCATGATATCATTCATTTCATATACCAGCTCGATGGTTTGGAGGAATGTCTCCTCGGAGCGGTGACCTTTGCTTGACCTTTCTGGTCGCCCTTCTCTGAATCTGATTCTGGCGGTGCATTACTCGCCATCTCCGCGCTTGTAAGCTGATGCTCAAGATCGAAAATGATGTTTCGTCTTGACGGTCGCATATCCTCGTCTCCGTGAACTTCAATGACATTCGAGGATGACGGGCTGCATTCCATGACCTCGTCCGCTTGCTTTTCCGGTTGTTTTTCGACTGGTTTAAACGTTGAACAAACGGAATGGACCATTGACCTCAATCTGCGTGGGCTCTTGGGTGTGCGGTGACTTTCCGAGCTGGATGACCTTTTGCTACTGTTGTATGCTTTGTCTCCGAACTCGTAATCCTCCATGTTCAAATTGTCTTGTACCCACTGCGGATCGTACGGGCTCTTCGAAGATTTGCTCGAGGCTTCACTTCGTCCTTCTCGACTCTGTGAATCCCTTTCACGGTTTTGCACATCCGTAGCAGCCCGTTCCTTCTCCTGCTGCCTGTTACAGGTCTCATTGATCTTCCTGTATTCTTCCGTCAATCGCTTTTCTTCTGCTTCTTCTCTGCGGCGCTTCTCCCGCTGCTCTCTTTCTCGTCGGATACGTTCTTCGTCTCTTCTCTTTTGTTCCGACGTACGCGTATCTCTTGCATATCCGCTGTATCTGTCATCGCGACTCTTTTCCCACGACCTTTCTCGGGAGCGGTCTGATGACCTTTCATAGCCGCGAGATCGATTATCTCTCTGAGGTGATTTTGGGCGTCTAAACTCCTCTTTCTTGAAGTTTCGGAGGGCCTCGACGACATCTTTCTCTCGTTTTCGGAAGTTTCGCATCCTGTCGATTCGTTCCTCAATCGCAATCTTGATGACCTGAGACGGCCTATTTCCTTTCGTTAGGCTGACCTTTTCGTCCAAGAATATCTTGTATTCTTCTTTCGACACGGCGAGTGGATCTTGCAGGATGGTGTCAATTTGCTGTATCAGTGACTGTCTGATCACCGCTGCTTCTCCCTCGTCTTGTTTCTTCAGTATTGCCATTGGGATAGGTGCGTGACCTTTTAGCTGCTTCGGCTAAACCCTTCTCTGCCGCAGCTTTCTCCTTCTCTTCTAAGCGCTTTCTCTCTGCTTCGCGCTTTTCTTGTACCATTCTCATTGTATCTTCTTCAAACTTCTTTCTGAAAGCGTCTGCTTCCGGCGTTCTCGGCGGTTCCAGGGTGATATCCCATCCCGGTCTGCGCCCGACCCACATTCGGTATTTATCTTCCAGAATCATCCGATCTTCCGGTGACAGTTTCTTCCATGTGTCTCCCGTAACCAAATGTCGGAACACATCGAGGTTACCCCTTCTCGCCTCTTCTGGTACTACCACTGCTTGGTTTGGTACTGCGACCACACAAAGCCAGCATGGGAATCGTTCGTTCGACAGGATGTTATTCCGCTTGCAATCTGGGCAGTCCTCATTGTAATTCGTCAGAGGATCTCCGGTCACCTTCTTTATTGCTGGTCTTTGGCCCTTTTTCGCCGCATTCTGGTTAGGTTGGCTCCGTTCAGCCATTTTGACCTTTTCAACCTGCAATCTCAAACAATATAATGCTATGGCCTTTACGTTAACCCTTCTCAACGCCTAGTTTACGCCTATGATAACTAGGCTATTCAGTGCTGAGCTGAGACTTTTCGCTGCTCTTTCACGATGACCTTTGCCATCCTTCTTTGACTAAACCCTTTTCAACTGTCTATGTGACCTTTCTCATCTTAGCCCATTCGCTAAGTACTTTAGCCCATTCGCTAATTCAACTCTTCTTGCAGAGTGTGGTTCGAAAGTAATCTGAGAACTACGGTCTGCTCCTTTCTGTCTTTTCTGATTCTGTTTCTTCATCTTGTGTGGTGGACCTTCCTCCCACACTTATTCTTTCTTTATGCCTTTGCGATCCAGTCATAACGGTCGATTCCATTCCTCTTCCATGTTCTGAGAGTTCCGTCTTTGACCAGGCTATCCAGTGCGTTCTGGATTTTGAATCGATCTCCGTTCATGTTTTCCTGACCAGAGTCGTATTGGACCGCCATATAATTGGACACATCTTCTTGCGTAACCCCATTGGTTCCACCGATATTCTGCAGAGCATCTTTGGTCAGGGCATCTTTCCACGCTTGGGGACCTGGCTTCGGCCTCTGCTTTCGTTGATCTTCAACCGGAGGGATGTAATGAATCGGCATATTCGTATTTGTGTATTTCACACCGATTTTCCCTTCCTTGTATGCCCTTTTCATGATTTTATTGACTTGTGTCCTGGTGATTCCGGCGTCGCTAACTGCTTTAGCGATTTCCGTCTTATCCATTTCTCTTGACGGAACTGCACCAATCGCAGCGCAAATCATCATCCACGGGACGTTGGTTTCAGAAAGGTCATCACCAATCATATAACTTGGTTTGCCGTCGACGATATCCTCTTCCAATAATTCGAAAGGTTGTTCTTTTTCTACTTTTGGTGAAGGTTGTGGCACCTCTTTCGGTGGTTGCGGTACTGATGACGGAGCCGGATTGCCTTGACTCGAGCTCGGGTGACCTTACTCCCCTGAAGCTGAAGTTTGGTGACCTTTCGTTGTGTCCTGAGCGGCTTGACCTTTCGCGTCTTCTTTGCCTTGCGTCGCCTTTTCGTGCGCAACTCTCAGCGGTGTCAGTGTTGTTGTTGCTCGATGGATCTTCTGAACATCTGTTACCGAGCTGGATCCACCGCTTGCCCTTTGGCTTCTTACTGCCGCTAGTGCTTCCGGGACTGACATTGGTTTCGGAGGTCCCACGAGGGCGATCGCCTCCTCAGCTGATTTTGGTGCATGCAGTGTCGGTATACCCTTCTCTACCGTTTCTGTCTCTTTTTCCTCAATGACCTTTTCTTCGACGACCATCGCTTCTTCTTCTTGTCCTTCTTTTGCTTTCTTCGATGAGGTTGCTGGTTGACCGCTATCTAGCTTGATCTGACTCAAAATGGGCCTTTCCGCATCGAGTCTCGGGTCCACTATCTTGGTGGTATCTTCACTTGTTTCTTCTGTCTTGTACTCTCTCAATTCTTCTGGTACAGCGTTTATGGAGCTGTATCTGATTGTCACGCCTTTATGGGGATTCGTTGTGTGGAGCTTCTTTTCCTCGACCATCTGTTTCAATGGTCTTCCGAGTGACCTTTCAATATCTGAAGCATTTCCCTTCTCTTTGCTCCAGACTCCATTGATAAACTGGGCCATACGGTGTTTCGTCGTACCCATCGGGCTGCACATTCCGATGATGGCGCGTTCGATCCGTTCTCGGATATCCGCGTTCGCGGTCGCCAACTTCCTTTCGTTATTGTTTCCTGTAATATACAGCTTCGCTTTGTTGCCGTATTTCGGGTGTTTCTGGAGAACTTTTCCCGTGCTCCTTGCGTATTCCAGGACGGCGTTATACTTGCTCTCTGGCAGTCTCTTATTGGTCTCGGCGCAATAATTTTTCACGTCCTTCCTGAACTTTGACGTAACTGATCTTGTCGCTTTCCCCCAATCTGCTGTCGCTCCGATGAGGATTTCGTCAATTTCTTCAATCGTTATTTCGTCATTCATTTCGCAGACAAAGAAGCGATCGTCATATTCATCGTCTGTATAGTCCAGTTCGCTGTCCCCTTCGACAGGTTTCCAGTTCAGGATGTCAGCTGCATCGACCCTTCCGATGAGGCTGTTCTTTGCAGTCACCTTTGGTTTCTTCTGAGCATCCATATAGTCTGCTAAACTGGGGTCAGACTTTCTTGTGTCCTTCTGACCTTTCTTTGTCTGTTTCGACGATGACTTTGATGATGCAATGCTAATTTCGGATTTCGCCGACTCCACCGAAGTATCCCTTTTCTTCTTCTCTTTATCAGCCTTGTCCTTGCGTTCTTTCATCGTCGACGCATAGACCGGCTGCATCGTCATCGCTTCCTCCATCACCTTGCGTGATTGACCTTTGTCCGTCTCGTCTTCGGTTTCAGCTTGCGATGAACTTGCTTTAGCATCGATAGACAGCTGTTCTGGTTCAGAGTCCGACTCCGGTTTCTCTCTTTTCTTTGTCATAACCCCCAGTAATTTAGGCTGTTTGACAAACGTATTTCCGGCGCTGCCTTCTCGTGCCGTACTTTTTGGTGGCTTCATTTTCTTCTCCTTTTCCGCTTTCTTTTCCTTTTCCTCCTTCTTTTCTTTTGCCTCCTTCCGGCATCTTTCGCATTTAGGGTCAGCGCATGAATGCGGTGAGACTTCTCCTGTAATTATCGCCTTGACCCGTTCGGCGCTTCTTACGGGAGTCAACTGTTCTTCTTTCTTGACCTCTCGTTCTCGCGATCTGTCCTTAGTCCTTTGACCCTTCGTTTCTTTCTTCTCTTGATGACCTTTCTCTTCAGCTTTAATTTGCTCAGGCTGACCCTTCTCAGCCGGTTTCTTGACCTTTTTCGCCCCCGACAATCTAGTCAGCGTCTCGCCTCTCGAAGTGTAAAGTTGCTTGTACACTTCTCCGTGGAAAGGGTCAAGCGCATGTATGCCCCATCCTGGCGTGCTCTTGGCATCATGACGTTAACCAATACTTCTGTTATGGCTTCAAATTCTTCTCGCTCTTCCTCTTGCGGCAGGACCTGCAGTACTTGCTCCACCTCTTGCATGAGTTTTGATGTTTCCTCTTCTTCCTCTTCTGGAGTGAAGCCTGCGTTTGACACCATTTGTCCCGTCTGAGGATCGACCACTTCGATTCTGAGGATCCCTTCTCTTCCTTCTTGATTCATGAATTTATAGTCGATGCGTCGACACGGTGATCCCCTATCGATTTCTTCTTGAGTCTCCATGGCTTCGGCTTGGGCCGGCGGTTCACCAGAGTAATATTTAATGTGCTCTTCCGCCGTCGGATTAAATTGGAAGTTTTCCGGAAAATAGAGCCCTTTGCCCTTGGAGTCGAAGAGTGATTTCCACTTTCCTTCGTCATCTTTCCAAAAGATTACCAAATAGGCTCGGTCCTCTTCAGCCCTGTGCCTGAGGATACTCATCACTGCCTGTATATTCGCGGCAGTGTCATTCCGCTGGTCCTCTGGCAGGAGATTGAGAATCTTATTAAGGTCACTATACGACTTCTGTGTTTGCCATTCAATTTCTTGAGGAGTCGCATTCGTTCCTGCTGTCGGGATCGGCATATAGGTCGTCGGGTCAATGACAAAACCGTGGACGTATCCCTCATCTCCGTCCGCCATGTGATAGTTGACCTTTAGACATCTGCACACCGTCTCTCTGTATGGCGGGTTTTCTTCATCTTCTACATCTTCTTCCCATTCTCCTGCTTCTTCCGCCTCGTGCCCCTTCGCACCTGACGCCGGATATGCTCCATGCGAGAGCATATCAATCTTTTCGCCTTGCGGGTTATAAAGTTGTCTCTCCATCTTGCCCTTCGCATCAATCGTAACCATGATGTTTGCTTTTCTTTGAACGCGATATCTCGCAGCAAACTCTAAGGATTCTCCCTATCATGGTCGGGTTATTCCGTTCTGACTTATGAGTTCACCAATCGCTGCTTCTGCGGCATCGCTGGCTTCTCTGCACATCAGCTGGTATGCGGCTTGGTCAGCTCCTTCCCCCATTGATGGAATTGGTTGATCAGTGTCTCTATGGACCAGAAATACACTGACTACTCCTTCCGTTTTATCTTTAAGCCGGAAAACTCTGGTGTGCGATCTACATTTCGTTTCTCGAGCTGCGCCCCTTCGCGTGCTCGCGCCAGAATGACCTTTAGGTTTTTCTGTCTGACCGGTGTGACCTTCCTCCACCGGGAGTTGACCTTTTTCATATTTCAGTTTCGGTTTAGTTTCTCTCGCCGGGCTGGTACGCGATGATCCTGATTGTACTGCCGATGCCGTACGAGACCTCAATTCCATGATTTCTCTGTCGAGTTTATCCCTTTCTCTCAACAGTTCTCTCTCTCGAGTTACCAACGGGTCACTCGGAGGCTGAAACGGGTCATTCCTCGTTCGCTTGGCCGTATGCTCTTCCTTAGTGGGGCTTTCCTCGGCCGGAGTTTTGACTCCTCTCCTGTTCTTCTTCTTTTGGTTCCGGGGAATAAGGTTCATGAAGATCAGTATCGTCTTTACTGCGCTTGGCCATTCCCTGTTGCGCAACACTGGATTACTGTTCTTCAGTGTTCTGATTTCAACACCTCTTTCTTTTCTCAACTCTTCCGCCTCATGTTTATCCAGTTTCATGTGGAGGTGGGTTCCCCTGGTTATCTTGTGAGTTCTTCGAGCTGTCCTGTACTGATCTTGATTATCGTTGATATCGTTATGCAGCTGGACGAACTCGCGGCATTTTTCATTAAACTCCGCCACAGCCTTCTTTTCTTCCTCTGTGAGGGTGACCTTTGGATCCATTACAATGTTGTACTGCGGATCCGTTTCTGTGATCGGGTCGTTGAATCTGGGTGCATTTAACACTGCCCACGGGATACTTCCAGTCGATCTTGGCGAGTGGATTCGGACTGGTGTAAGTGATGGGATCTCCATTCTCGTTCCCTGGCCACTCGTCGACGCCCTCGGAGTAAACGGCTGACCGCCCCTTCGCGGTGTGTTCTGTCTATCTCCCGGGAAACGATGACCTTTTGACGGTTTTGGTGTCCGAAATTGGCCTTTGGCCTTGCTGAGGGTTAAATCCCTGCATCTGATTAGGGAATCCTTGCATCTGGTTCGGAAATGGGGCCATTCCGCCATATCCGAACTGACCTTGCATCGGTTGACCTTGATTC